TGGTCCTCTTACTTCAACCTCTCCAATGGCTGGGATTATAGATGTGCACCAACAGGTCCAGCTATTAGACATACTTTTAGACTCCTAATCTGAAATATTCCTATCATCTCCTTCTGATTTTAAAATCTAATTCCACTTTTAAAACAGTCTAGCATAGGGCTGGGACTGTAGCTCAGTACTGGTAGCCCACTTGCCTGACTTGTGTGAGGCACTGGGTTCGATTCTCAGCACCGCATATAAATAAATAAAATAAAGGTCTATCAACAACTAAAAAATTTTTGAAAAAAACAGGCTAACATGATCTTTAGCATGTAAATTATTTCATAAGTTCTAGATGAATTAAATATTCAAGAGAATATTTATTTGGGACATTTTCAGGACTAAAGACAATAGATGACAAATCAAGCCTTATATTTCTTCTTAGAAATGATTTGTTACTTTACGTAAGAATATTGTATAGTGATTTATATTTGTTGATAGTTCATAATAGCTTAGCTGTAGTAATTAATTTTCCTACAATTATTGTTTTTTATTTGTTTTGTATTCTCATGTTGAAAAATTTAGAGCCTTCATACCAAGATGAGGAAAGTCATTGATTATGTTTATTGATTTGAAATTAACTTTAGAGAAAAAATAAAATAATATGTGCTGTGTTGAACTTTAATTGGGTGATATTTACCTAGTTTAAAAAGAAATATTAATAACTCTTACTAAAGACTTATCGTTCAGTGACATTACATAAAAATATACAGGTTCATAAATAATCTCAAAATTCAGTTATGAACTAAACTCAATCTCAGTAGATTAAGGCACAATAGTTCTTTAAAATATATTTATGTAGTAATATTTAATAACTACTGAATGTGTGTACTTCTCATATGGCAGTTTTGTTTTCTGTATTACTTAGATCATCGGTTTTCTTCTTGTCAGATGCTAACATTGGAGAAATGGGCCTTGAAGGGGCATTATTGGCCTTACTAGACAAAGAGACAGATCAGAGATTGTGCCATGATATCAGAGAGACTTTAAATCACATGCTAACATCTATGGCGGTGGAAAAACTCTCTCTTTGGTTAAAACTTTGTAAAGAAGTACTTGCTGCATCAGCTGGTAAGTACTGGTAATTACCGTATGAAATGATAAAATTGAAAGTAAAAACTATAGAAAATTATTTGCCACTGACCATTCATTAGTTTTTTATACTTGAATTACAGTTGTCTAGTCATTGTTTTCTTAAACTGAAGATTCTGCTTATAATGTTTTAGAATTCTCTGTAATTTGAACAGTATAAATCTCAAGGCTGCTTTTTTTTTCTGTTTTTATTGTCTTAACATTCTTGTATCAAACAGTTAAAAAGTAGAGTCATTATTTATAATAGGAAATACCTAACTTATAATGGATCCATTATTTTTTTGGTACATGTAATAAATATTTGAGGGATTGCAGCAAATCAACATAATAGAAAACTTAGCGAGCAAACTAATTCCTCCATATTTAGTAATGTTAATTTGAAATAGTATTATAAAATGTTATTCCCCTAATGTCTTTGCTAATACAATTATAAGAATGTACACTTGATTCTTTAAAGTGTATATACTTAAAGAGAGGAAATACCTGAGAAGAAGAAAAAAGATAGGAAACCAATTCTATTCCAGGAACTGTATATGTTCTMTCTGATTTAATCCTTTAACTCATCCTATAAATAGACAGTATTATTTCTTTTTGCAGAAGAGGAAAGCTTAGAGAGGTAAGTACCTTGCCCAAWGATACAAATTCAAGCCTAAGCCTACATAACTTTAAAATCCATAAATTTTCCACTAGGTTTCATTAGAGCCCAATTTAGTTATATAAATGTTATAATTTAATGTGGTTCTGATCTCTGAATTATGTGAAAGGAAAAGGATGCCATATGATTCCTGGAATTYTTTTGTATTCTCTCTTCATCTCTTCCAGTGATTTATACCTGTTCTTTCAACCATAGCTCTGCATGTTTTCTTGTTCTCTTCTATCCTCACTACTTGAGAATTAACAAGGACTTTTCCTTTAGAAAAAAAAATTATATGTGCACATTTAGACTGGTCATTTTTTTTTTTTTTGGGTGTCTCACTTTTTAAAATTTTTACATTTATACTCCCTGAAAACACCTTTCAGTCTATTGATTTCTTAGTCATAAGATAGCTTTGCCATAACTTGATTAGTGATATCTTTACTATCTTAACACCAAAAAATATTGACATGTAAGATAGTTTAGAAGAGCAAGATGGTTTGTTTGATAGCGTTAATTCCATTTTAAGTTGAATTTAACAGTAAATAAGAAGCAATACTTGAGTATGGCTCCAGCCATAAGCATAACTTTGAGATAATGACAGCAGAGGGTCTCTAGTAACAAAAATATTTTCAGATAGTTTTTAGTATATTTAAGATAATCTCTTTAAGTTCATTCAAAGACCCAGTGTTGTAGGGGCTGGGGTTGTGGCTCAATGGTAGATCACTTGCCTAGCACTTGCGAGGCACTGGGTTCCATCCTTAGCACCACATAAAATAAATAAATAAATAAAAGACCCAATGTTAAAAGAGCTCAAGGGACTGGGTACATGTAATAAATATTTGAGGGATTGCAGCAGATCAGAAATTGTGCCATAATATCAGAAAGACTTTAAATCACATGCTAACATCTATGGCAGTGGAAAAGTTCTCGCTTTGGTTAAAACTTTGTAAAGAAGTAGCTCAATGGTAGAGCACTTGCTTAGCATGTGTAAGGCACTGGGTTCGATCCTCAGCGCCACATAAAAATAAATAAAATAAAGGTATTGTGCCCATCTACAACTAAAAAAATATTTTTAAAAAAACAGCTCTGCAGTAGACCCCACTCATACTCCCTACTATAGAATTTTTAGCTTCCTTTAGTTTAATCATCTGTGGGCTTGGGGTTGATAATTACTGCATTATCTAGTATTATACTTGGTTTTTCACTTTGAGTATATTTTAACAACTTGATTATCAGCTCTCATAGCATTTCCTTTAGATATCACTGTTATCTATACTTATTAGACATAGTTATTCGATGTTATTATAAAGGTATATGCTTGCCATCCATGGTGGCACACACCTTTAATACCATCGACTTTGGAGGTTGACAATTCAAGGCCAGCCTCAGCATCTTGGCAAGACCTATCACAAAATTTAAAAATAAAG